AATACTTGCAAGACCATTATCAGAGCCAGAATTCCAGCCTGGCCTCAGAGAACAAACCTCAGGGGGGAGGTTGTGCTCCTCCTCATCCATGGCAATGGAGGGTACTGCAGAAAGGGCAGTCCCCTGGCCCCACTTCCACACCCTCCCAACACATCACTTTTGCTTCAGCTATAGAGGCTGTGTAAACACTGAGGAAGCTGGTTTAGCTGCATAATCCAGCAGGGAACTTGTACACCAAAGGCTTTCTGAGAGATGAATCCTCTTCCTAGCATCACCCCAAACCTAAAGGATGGTCTGGGGCAAGACCGGGGTTTCCCTGCTTAACAAGGATCCAGGAGACTGGGCTACAAAGTAAATGGCTATAATCAAATCTGCTCCATGAGTTCATGCTTTGGTCTCCCTCCCTACAAGGACAGTAGAAGATACCTGCTTTCAGCTGGTTGTTGGGAGGCTTAATATCCATGAAACACACAGAGATCCTTTCATGCCTACAAGGACTTCATATTAGTCACACAATGTGATTACTGAAAACACCTCGTCCCTTTCAAAGGTACCAGTAATGCAGAAAGCAGAAATCCTTTACTCAGACATAAATACATTCCCTGTTTAGAAAAAAGCTTATAGAAAGTCTGGGAAAGGCACACACATAGGCATGTATATATTCATCTATTTGAAAAGAGCTGCATTCCATAGCACTCCCTGGCTCGTGTGCATCTAACAGAATATCTATTTAGGAAAATGTGACTAGCATAACCAGCTATGCAGTGCTCACATCTGCTAATCCTTTGCTGCTCAAGTAATCATCTTCGCTTGCAAAAAGATTTATACTATTTTGGGTGCAGGCAAAGAGGAGCTAAGCACTTCAGAACTCTTGCAACTGATTATTTTTGAGGGAAGCATGGCCTTAATGTTCCCACTCCAGTAGGGTATAGAGAGATCTCATTTCTGGAGGTAGGCAGAATTACTTTAGATAGGTCGGGTATTGAATGGACAGAGGAAAGGCTTGAAGCTACAATATTTACCATATTGGGTGATGCTTATAGCTCTATTTTATTTGCACAGGTTAAACAGCACTGCTTCCTCGACCACAGCTGCCTCGCAGGGCTGTGCTACCAGGTACTTTCACAGTACTTTCAACCCCCTCCTTCAAACTTCACAGTTAAAAGACACCAGCTGAAACTTGCCTTGCCTCTCCGAGATGTAAGCATCTGACACCCAGGGATGGATTCTGAACTCAGCCAGCTCCAGCTCTGGAGAGTTACTCCAGAGTGACACCAGTGTGTGGCTCCAACTAAGCCATGTGCATCTGTATGTTTCAGGGATTTCCCCTGTCAGAGTGGGAGGATGGGATTGACACTTGTGTTCCTGCATTGTAAGAGCAGATCAGGGATGTCAAACAGAGTGCTGGAGGGAGAGTGGGGTGCCAAGGGTCTTGGCAGAAAATACAGCTAGCATACACACAAGCGGCCTTATGTAACAGCCCACGCCCCTCCACAGCAGATGGGGTGCAACCACTGCACAAGGACAACTCTTCTCTACCTTGTGTATCACAGGCAGCCCTCTCTGGCAGAGAAGCATAGAAATGGTTTGACAGACATGGTTTAACTCCTGCAGACACTGTGCACCTTTTTTGGCAGACAGTTCTCGTGGATGCCAACTTGCCTGTTCAGCTGTCTTCTCACTGCTGCTTCTCTTTTTGCAGCTAGATCAATGCCAGGGCCAGGGTGTGCCCAGCATCCTTACATCTCCTATGCTGCAGTACAGATGTGTCCTTTCATCTTTGTTTTCTCAGTTTTGATCCATAACTATTCAGAAAGAGAAATCTGAGGTCTTGTTTGGTAGTATGAATATTTAAAAGTACAGAATATTATGCTGGGGTCTTTTTTGTTTGTTTTTGTTCGTTTGTTTTTAATTATCAAATATCTCAGGTTTGTAACTATTTTGCTTTAATTTTTTTCCTAATGGATTTGGTTTAGGTATTGGCTTTTATGTCTATTCTTCAGGTAATTTTAGAGATTCTTCTGAATCTCACAATCCTATATTGTTGATCTAGAGAAGTCACTTATATTTACCAATAGTTGAGTTAATATATAGTCCTACTATCACTTGGAAAAATTCTATAAAACAGATAATCTCTGAGATATCTGGAATATGTACATGTGGCTGAATAAGAGATGGAGCCAGCTCAAATTTGTGCCAAGCAACCCTCACAGCTAGTCTCCAGGATACACTGATTTACATATATACCTGTACACACAGAGCAAGAGAGATGCACACAACATACGTGCACATTTTTCAGCCTATGTCACCTCTAGGCTGGAAAGTCAACAACACAAACCAGCACGTAGCCATTTAGGACAGGAAGTGGAAAACTATATTTAGCTGAAACTATAGTAGAAAGTAGATGATCAGAATACTGCTTACAGTTGTGGCCCCATTCCTGTGAACACTGATATAAGGCAGTCCGCAACGATGAGAAGTTCCTGCTCAGGGGCAATATTCCCAGTGTGGTCTGTCTGCCAGCAAACAATGGGACAGTTGCCTTCCATGCTACTACCAGTACCACTGCACAACGTGCTCCAAGCATCCGCCAAGCTTGGCAAGTACCCGCTTAATGGAAGCGCTGGAAAGATCATATAACAAGTCAATGTGGTTGCAAACATGCTCTTCTGTTAAATGAATTTCAGGAGATTTTTGTCTCCTCCCTGGACATACCAAATTCAGGTAGCTTTGGAGAGTACCACCTTCTTTGTATCTTTACAGTAATATGTCGATCTTGGTGCAATGCATCTTGAGCACAAACATTTCCTTCTTGAGAAGCACTATCGCTCTTGACTGGAAAGTGTATCATTGCTTGACAGACAGCAGGTATTTGATAACACTGATTTGTTTCCAGTTGCCTGAACTGTCCCTGCCCCATTTAAACATCACATCTCATATGTTCTAGGTTTGCATTGGGTTCAAGGCCTCCTGAAACCAACAGGACTTGTTCTCCTGATTCAAATGAGCTTAGATTAAGCCCTTTAAAAAGCATGGCTTTTAAGGAGTTTTTAAGAATTGTTTTCTCAGTTCAACCCTGTAAATGTTGGTATTAGATTTATTTACTGCACTGAAGAGACAAATATGTAGCCTGGGTAGAAGATAACAGCTTTTGTGGTCAACAACTATCTAGAAGCTCCCATTCCAGCAGAAGTCATTTGATAGCGTACTTGATAGGAACTCTGGTCTGCCCTACACAGGAGGTCAGACAAGACAGTCAAAACAGTCCCTTTCAAAACTAAAATCTGTGAACCTGTCAGAGTTTTTCAGTTTACAGATTCCTCCAATGCTCTAAATTCATCACATGAAATCTGTCAACTGTGACGGTGGGTTTTGTGCCAAGAAACATGTCACCAGAAAGATGCACAATCATTACTTCATTAGGTAACCTGGTGTCCCAGAAATGAGAACCACTGTAACCCATCCCAACCTAAAACAGCCACTATCTCAAAGGACTATTAAATATTTGCATATAACATCTGTCTCAGCTCCTATCTGCTCTACTCATCATCTCCTCCACACATTTGCCAGATGCTGGAGTGAAGGCATATATCTTTTCATGAAACCATGGTCATCATGCTCAAGCAGCTCCCATTTCTCCAGGTGTTTCGTGATCTCACCACTTATTAATGTTCCTAGGAGTTAGCCTGACTCTAGGTCAGAATTACTGGTTAAATTTCTTGCAACCCATTTTGGAACAATTGGATTAGACTGATTTCTATTCAGCCCCTGGCTACACTTCTCCCTCATTCCTCTCTGAGTAGCTACTAATTCTGGAAGCAGGTTTCTCCCCAGTGTTTTTCTGCCATTTCACAGGTATAAATCAGCAAAACCTCCTTATGGATTTGCTACATGCAGAATAGACCGTTTAGTCATTACTAGGAATGGATACATGGATACTTTTCAAGTTGCTAGGGTACTTCTAAGATAATTTGCATTGCCATAGTTTCTGTGCATGTGAATAAGCCTTCCCTTTTAATTAATAGTCCAAAGACTATGGTGAACTGAGGTGCAGTCTCAGCAATTGCTCGTGCAATTTTTGTGCACAGAATTTTAAAATCAGGTCCAGATTCTCCATCAGCAGCTTGCCCTAAGTTACCATATATTTTGAAAGCTACCAACTTTATCTACATATATTTTGTGAAATTGGCACCTAATTCAGTGTGACCGTAACAGGAAATTACCTAAACACCATTTAGAAATGTTTCTAATTCTGTAATGTGTTGGAGGCCACAAGGTACACATGCTGAAGTGTAATTTTGAGGATCTTCACCAATATTATAGAATGTAAACAGAAAGAGTTAAAACAGATTTTAAAATACCCAAGTTTTTTTATGAGTGGGAGACAGATTGAAAATAAAGACAATCAGTTAATGAAAAAAAGGTAATTCTGTTAAATTGTTCAGATGCTCAAAACTCTATGAAGAATGCTTGTGGCATGCCCATTGATGCTTCAATATTCCTCCAACCACTTGATTTATAGTCCAAATCTAAGGTCTATGGCTTGTTTACTTTCTCCTGCAACTTTAGACTGAAAGCAAACCTTTGCAAGCATGTGGCTCATTTCAGACAAGCTGAGAAAGAGATAAAGAGAATATATCTTTCAGTTTATAATACTTAACATCTTAACTATCACAAATGCAGAGAATATCTGCCAAGCACAAATTCTCTGGTTTATCATTGACTAAGTTCCTCTTGCCAGTCTGCAGGGATTGGACACTTACATTTTTTCCTTATGGGTGTGTGATCTTTGTCCCTCAGTGTTTAACATCACATGGAACTGAGGAATTACATCTTGAAACAGAAGTGTCATTGTTCCACTTAATGCAAACAACTGAACAAGGCAAAAGTAGTGACAATTGTAATGCAGGGTTCTCCCTCCACCCCCCGCACTCCATGTGGGTATTTGGGAACAGTGCTATGGTGAAACCATTGCACAGTAGCCTGTCAGCAGCAATTTCACCTCCTTTTTGTCTGAGTGTGCTCCAAGTTTGGCAGCACACTCAAGACTGAAAATGCAAATATCCCATATCTATCCACCCATACAGCCTCTTCTACCGGACCCATCACAGACATATCTGGGAGCTTTTATTCACAGGAAATAGGCTGTCTAAGTGTGTCAAACAGGTAAGAAAAAGTCTTAATATCTGGTATTACTATGTTTTTCCAAGGGGGGGTGACTGAAGGTTTCAGCAGCTATGTAATTTTCCCCTGATTGTTTACAACAGGAAACAGAAATTCTCGGCTTCAGCACGGGCTTTATGACACAACCAAGCCTCAGGAGGATTCCAGCCTTACCCTGGAATCCCAGGAGCTAGCTGACTGTCGTCCCAGTCAAAACCCATTTTCTGTCCCACTATGTTTTCTTGGGGCTCAGTCCTGCAAGGTGCAGTGTTTGTTGGACAGGAGCAAGGAAAGCCTGTATTCTTTTCCTGACAGAAAGCACATTTGAAGTCTCTTGGGAGTCCATGGACAGAGTCTGTGTATACCTTAGCACACAGGAGCTGGAATGACCATCAGCTGATAGGGATGAGCCCTTATCCACTTCTGCATTTGAGCAGAAACAAAGCAAGCCTCCCAGAAAAACTTTGTCACATTTCCAAAACCAGAAAACTCCCTTTTTCTGTCCTTTGCCCTAAACTGCAGCTTGAGATTCATCCTTCTTCTTCCCTAAATAGCTAAGATTCAAGCTAAATAAAGGTATTGCAGTTTGGTTTTAGCTGGAACATGTTAGCTAAAGAAAATACTGTAAATTACAGCACAATCTTGCCACACTATTGTGACTATGTAGCTGATAACTCAGCAGCCGGCTTACAAATGCAGCTGAGAACTCTTTGTTAAGTAGGAAAAGCAAAGCAACAGTTGTTAAAAATGAGCAGTCACTAAAGATTCAGGACTTACCCTGAGTCATCCCTGGCTCCCTTCTCTCCTGCTGATGTTTTCATCCTTACAGCAAACTTTAAGAGACACTTTCTGTTTCACAGTGGCTGGAGAGTTCCTCGGTAAGAAAAGCAATTCCTTTCCATCGCTGAGCAGAACCTCCACATCCTCAGGTTTTGCACTGAAGATGGTATTTCAAGGGGCGTCAGGGGGAGGATGTTTAAAACCAGCTTCAGGCTCAGTAGTATCAGAGGGCAGAGGACTAAACAAACACTGAAATGAAAGCAAACTACCAAGAAGATCCGATTTTAGCCTCTCTTATTTCTACTTCCTGTATTTATATGAACGGGGGATTTCAGGAAGAGGCAGTCTTTGGTGGTCAAGGGTGTGTGTGCGTGCGTGTGTGTGTGTGTGTGTTAGAAACCCATATTTAGTAGTGCAGGCAGGTTAACCTCATTAGAAAGAAGGGCATGAGACCATCAACTTGTTTCTCTAACTTAAATAAGTTTCAAGGGAAATTGTTTTACAGGCTACAGGTATATCAGGAGGCAACAGAGCATAGTGAACTTTGTAAAGGATTTTGTAAGGCAGCAAAGCAGTAAGTCTCCGTCTGCAAATTCCTGAAGCATGTGTATTTCTACTGCTTGAGTAACTGGAACCAGATGGAGCTTGGAAACCTTTATATTTACACAGGACCTGAGAAAATGAAATGTCTAACACTAGCAGAGGACAGCTTCACAAAAACATTCCCAGTTAAAGCAAAAGCTAATGATAAGGTTGTACAACTGCTAGCAAATGAACAGCTATCTGTGCTGTGAAGCTGCAGTCAGTCTCAGAGTACATTTGACCCGGAGTTATTTAAGTGATCAAGTAATGATTGCTGTACGGGAAACCTGACTGAATACAGACCAGCTGTGGAAGCTGGGGACTGACAGATGTGCTGTCAGACAGGGCTGGTGGCACTCCTATTTGGCAACGCCATTGTTCCAGAAATATCTGATACTAGGAGAATGCATAATGGAAAAAATAAGGCAGAAGTAGGAAGCAGAGGCGGAGAAAAGCAATTGCATGGAATGGACAGGGAGACAAGGTAACTTTTTGCCCCTTTTATCTTTAGAAGGAATTTCTCAGCTTTTTAAAAATAGACAGTGCCATACAGCCCATAGCAGAATGCAAATGTCAGGGAATTGCCAGTGCACTGGCAAGAGGGAAACTAGACCTCAGTACAGAACACAGAGCCAATTCTGCTGGCACTGAGCTAAGGAGAGTCAGGGGGTCCTTCACCGTCACCAAGTCACAACTTCTGTGCTAACACTAGACCAAATTTTCCCAGTTTTTTTTTTTAATAAAGACTGTGACTTCTGTTCACATAAGAAAATTTATGTTCTAGCTTTTAGAAGGATTCATCTTAGAAAATCAAAGAGCCTAACTGAAAGACTGTATGATGGAAAATTCACTACCCTTCTACATAAGGTGTCTTAGGGTTTAATTGTTGGTATTATTTAAATTCACACCTGATTCTTTCCCTCATTTAGTTTTAAATTTTCAGCTACTGTATTTCATAATGCTTTTTTCTACTACATTAAGGAGCTAGTTGCTCCATCTCCTGGAGTAATTTTCAGGCAATGGCAAACTCATTCAATGAAGAATTTAGTCCTCTTAGACAGGCAGGTTGGCTGAGATTCACTCATTCCTTACTGCAGGCTTGTCAGATCTCAGCTCTGAATCCTTCTGTGGGTTCTGAGCGCAGAGGTCCAAGAAAAAATATGTTCTAGATTTGCTCACCAGCTGGGCACCTTTGAAATGCACCTCGGGTACTGGCATGAGAACAACCTCCTACATGCCTCACACGAATTCAGCTCTACCCCACATTTCCATTTCTCTCCCCTGCAATTCGGCAGGGACCAGGCCCACTCAGCATTTACCCTTGTTTTGCTGGAAAAAAAGTTTGCTGAGACAAAAACTGGGAAGTTGGGCTGCTTGCATGGACCTCCTCAGATGGGAAAAACTGTTCACACAAATAGGCAGCTGTCCTATGCGAAGACCTAAGATTTTGCAAATGCAGAACATCACAGAGTGTTAGACAATTCCAATGAGATTTTTAGGGAAGTAGAAACAAAATTACTAGAATTATTCACAAGATTTGGGGGGAAAAAATGGCAACAATACAGAATAAAAAAACCCAGTATTTTGGTGCTATCTCAGTTTCATGTGATTTGAGTGAAATCTTTCACACTATTTCCAATGTAAAGAATGTAGTTTCAGAAATGTGAAGTTTCAAAATTTGTTTCACTAAAGATATTGACCAAATTTAATTTTAAAAGATTTTGTAATTTTCTACAAAGTACTCAGTATCTCTGTAAAATATTTAAAATATGAAAACGAAGACAAATTTTAACTTAAGAAATTTTGTCCAGTCTTTACTAGGTATTTTTTTAAGCCAGAGATTTGACAGGTTTGGAATGTGACACTATGTTCTAGTATCAGGCTTTGGAAGTAAACAATTACACAAAAGCTAAATGACAAAATAACACCCAGTTACTTCAAACTGAGGCTCCTCTATGATAAATCCAAGCCGAAAGGGGAAATTCATTTCTTTTCTAGAACTGATTCACCCTTCCCATCTTAAGCCACAGCATGCTGCAGCCCGTTTTTGTAATTTTATGCAGCCGAGTTGGAAAGGTTTAAAAATGGCTTATGGGGGAAGCCATTAAGTACGAGCACTTTGGCTATAAAAAAATGCTTTCAGCATATGCACAGATTACACGACAGTTCTGTTTTCCATATAGTAGGAAGTGGCTGCATCAGTAATACAGCATGTATTAACAGCCCATAGGAATTGTCATGCCTATTGTGTCACTAATCCATAGATTATGTGCCTTTTATAGAGCCTATTACATAACAGATCATGATGGGTCATCATGTCAAGAATGGAAGGATTAAAAGAAGAGGTATTTTTCACATTCAGATTCTGATTCCTAAGAAGGTAATTCTTTGTATAAGAAGGAATCCTTTTCTTTCCCCAGCTTAGAAAAATTTAGCTTAGCATACATTAATGAACGAACCCTTATGTAAAAATCAAAGGATATCCCTCTTCTCCACTTCCATGAGACTTTTCTGTAGATGCACAAAAGCCAAGAGTGGCTAATGGCAGGTTTATACAGCAACAGGGATTCCAGTCTCATGCACAGTGCTTAAGAAAAATAAGATCAAGATTATTTTTAACTTGCATCTCCTGGTTGTAAACTGGCTAGGAGTATTCATGAGAAGACTTGTCTAATTAAACTGTTAATACACCAGGCCATGAGATGAAGTTAACTCTTAGCTTCTCTTTTTCTCCTTTTTTTTTTTTTTTTTTGCATTTAAAAGCTTTTTGTGAGTCCAAAACAGACTGTACCAGAGCCTGTGTACATATATACCAGAAGTCATCAGACCCTGTGGTGGACTACAAGGATGTTGAAAATGGACAATCAAGGGTAAGAAGGAGTATCTCCAGAGGTTAGGTAGCTGGGAAAGGAAAATAGTACTGCACAGCCTTCAGATCTTACTTCCACTCCTTTGTCAGCATCCAGTACTCCGTGTGAACCTGCTGGACACCACCGTACCATGAGACAAAGCAGCCAAAATGCTCTCCATCAGGGTGTTTCTGAGCTGTCATAATTGCTTCTGAATCAGTGCCTCAGTACAGCAAACTGTGTTCTCAGTAATTCACACACTTCTAGCCTCAAAAGAGCAAATTGTGTGTTTCAGAATTGCTGCAAATCAAAGCAATACACTTAACTCACTCCAAATAATGGCTTGATCCAGGCAATACTCCCTGGAATAGATGAAAATGTGGGCCTTCATTAATTCAGTTCAGCAGGGTCCAGATTTCACCAAAAAAGTAAAGGCACATAACCTATTTGGGTCCTTAAATTTTAGATTTTTGATAATAAACATGAGAATGTTTCACATCTTATCATCTGAGAAAAAAACACACTCTAGTTGTTTATATAATTTATTGATAGTGTACATATTTTTATATAGTGCATTATAATACTGACTGCTATAATCTTTATAAATGCTGAGTTAACTATTTTTTATAATTCTCACAACAAAAATAATCAAATATCATGCCAACATTTTGTAACAAATCATCACATTAAATCCATTTGGATTCCATGACATATTTATCTGTACAATGGACCCCATATCACAGAGCATTCACAGTGCATAAGGTCACAGTCATTGAAAAAATAAATAACATGAGAGATTTCTGTTATTTACAGTTTACAAACCCATCCCTTTCTGTTTTCAAAGTAAGCAGTTCCAGAAAGTTTTAATAATATTTAAAGAGGTATCGCACCTCCTAAGGGTGCACAGCAAATGCCTGCAAGTACGAAACACAGGTTTTTAAAAGGTTCAGAATTCGTTTTAGTGATCATAAATGATTTCAAATACTTTCTTGCAATGGAGGAGATAGTGTGAGCCAAATTCTATGCTCAGTTCCACTGACACAAATTTGTGCCAACTATCAGGACAGTAACGAGCACTGTCACCACTCCCAAGAACGTGAAGGCAAGAATTTGGTCACAGCTTTGCTGAAGTTACACCTATTTGAAACAGAGGTGCTGCTGGGGAAGGAGATTTACAAGTGTTCTTTGCATACATAATTGGTATATGAATGAAGGCCATAATCTTGCTGTAAAAATCCTCTCAAAGGAAGCATCTTTACTGTCGTTATCAATCTTTCTAGAGATTATACCTGTCTAGTTTTCATATATTCTGATACTTTTAGAATTTGTTATCATGTCTAGTGCTATAAATCAATCTTTAGATTTGTCTTTCAAGTTTATCAAGACCATCTCACTGATAGGATGGCAGTGATTGCCTACATTCTTTGTGCAAGTAAAAAAGAAAAAAAAAAGGGATTAAATTCAAACAGGCAATTCTTCTAAGAAAATATCCAAATGGCATTAATTTCCCATAATCATTAATTTCTTTCAGACAGTGTGCTGTATGTCAGAAGTATGGCAGCAAGCAGAACCACATGAGGAGCAAATTGCCACAACCACTACACATCTCAGCCTGTGCAGAAGCAGCTACATGTATCTCACATGTCAGGACAGGGAGGTATAAGATTTCACAGATTTCTTTTGGGAGCAAACATGAGAACCTGACATATGGGGAAATGTGAGAAAAGTATGTGCTCAAGTTATTCAAAAGGAGGTTTTTAAATATGCACACAGTAGGTCAGAAACTGGAATGCACATATCAGTTGAACGGCATTCTCCTCTTCAGCAGAACATCCATCACTTGCATACAGACTTTTCAAAATAGTTCAAGAGAATAATAAAGGGTTTGGTACAGAGTTGCTGGAACTAAATGCTGTCATTTACCTATGTAACCATCACATAAATCTCACCACCCAATAAAATGAAAAATAAGGAGTTCAGACGCAAAGAAATAAAAAGGAAATTGTGTAGCGAGTGCACGAGCTGCAGATTTTTTTTCTGAGTGTTTAAACACAAATAACTAACAGAGAGAGATCTGAGGTTTGCAATGACAGAATGTTATGCTTAAAGGTGATCTATTTCAATTAGGAAGACTCTTTGGTTTCACCTGGCTATCAGTTATTTTAGTGTCTGATTCATATCACATTAGGTCTGATCCTTCCTTGGCATGAATTATCAGGCAGTATTCATACAGCTTAAAGCACTCTACCAAAACCAACTAATAGTAGGACACAAGTAAATGGCATTACAATGGCAAGAAATCCAAGAAAGGAAGACAACAAAATCCATGTGGGATTTGTGCAACTAGAGCAAATACATAATAGAAACAAGTGCAATTAAAGCACAGTCACAAGGGAAATCAAAGACAGAATAGAATCTTCTCTATGATTGCTAAATATTAGATTAGTAAAGACCTTTTCCATTTGTTTACATGTTGACAGAAAGTTTACAAATATCATCTAAATCCAGAAACTAATTTTATGTTTGCTACAGCTGCAGCAAGCATATAAAAACAAAATAAAATTGGCACGCCAATGACTGAGCCAGGAGAAAGATGTTGTTTATGCTGTACCTGTTGGGAAGACTTAAGGTGTTCTTCTAGGCTAGACCTCAGCCCAGAGAGCAGCCCTTACATCATCAAATAGATAACCATATCTGTAGCTTTTTAGATTTAGACATGTAGATCCTAAGCTTGAAATCTTTACACAAGCAATACTTTATAATGCAGTACAATTGTTATGGTAAATAAATGTAATCAAAAATTGTCAAACTCAATGGAAACTCCCACTTGCTTGCTACAGACAGGACTGCAACCTGTAGGTCTATGTGGGACTGTGCTACTCCAGGGGAACTGCAGCAGAAAAGAGCTGCTAAAAGCCCTCCTTGGCCAGCTATAATTCAGTTTTGCCCCCGCTCATACACACAAGGGCAGATGCACAGTTTTGAAGTCTGAGACAAGGAACATGTTCTCCTATTTACAAGAGTGGAAATTGGAAGTGGTATCAGCAGAGCAGAAGTCCACGGACTCTGGTTAAACTTTATAATTTGAGAAAGAAATAAAATCCTTACTCTACAAACCCAGTAAAATATGAAAAGATCTCAATATGACAGAAAACCCAAAAACTGTGCTCCACTGTCATCTTAGGACACAATCCAGCAAGGCACTTGGATATATGCTTAGCTTTAAGAATGGAATCAAACCTGCTGAAGTTAAGCTTTGCTGGATATGGGATATCTTTTTCCGAGTTGTATTACTTTTCAGTGTTAGTATGCTGGCAAATTTCAGATCACAGTAACAGTTTTACCTCTCACATCCACCAGCTTTCTTTTCACTCTTGAGCTGAACATTAACTTAGAGAATACTGCAACACACATTCCAAACTCAGCCAGCTAACTCTTGCAATGGTTAATAAAACAAAATGGCTACAAAATTTGAGACACAATTTGAACAGCTGCAGGATAGAACTGTACTAATTGCAGAGAGCCAAGCACAAATCACTCCTTTTCTTGACTTGAAAATGGCAAAATTTGCAATGGTTTCCTGACTACACAAGCAAATTTTTTCTTTTTTTTTTTTTTTTTTTTTGTATACACGTGAAAGGCACTAGTTTGTTATTACTCTGCAACAGCCTACTGAATTACTGATACATTCTGATATGGGTTTATCTGACACACAACGATTTGTCAATCAGATCTTTCTTGGACCATTCAGTTTACCTGCATGGCTTGGTGTATAACTCTACTTATTTTAGCATATGGATTATGACAACTTAAGAACCTTTTAAACTACTTCATATGATAATGTGTCATCAAGGCCCTGATACAGCATCTCATAATTCTTTGGCAAACAATACATCCTTGGTCAGGTGGTGGTGTCAGAGGAGAACCCTACTAAGGTTATTTATAATTATAAGCATGGCATGATACCTGTCTCATAGCAGGATATGCATGAGACCATCTCATGAAATGCAACATTAGAATTCAATATAAATTGTCCTGAAGTGGGTCAGTGTTTCAGGGAGGGCTGTAGATGACAGGACCAGCCACATGATTTAGCAGTACTATGTTCTGAGACTGACCCTTGCTAAACACAACACTGGTTTTCTGGAGCAGGTGATATTCAATTTAGGCAGAGTAATTCTAAATTATGTTTGAAGAACTCATAGCATTAGCAGACAAAAGTCTGTGCATGTTTGGGCTGGGAGTCAGCTGCTACAGAAAAAAATGGTGCCTGTATTTTTCCAAAGTTGCCTGGTTCAGGAATACGAAGGTACAGCACAGTTTGCTAGATCTGGCACTATAAGCTTTGATGCCCTCATGACTGTCAACTCAGCTTTCACTAAGCATTCAAAATCTGATTTTGGAACCACTCTTCTACTGTGTGAAGACATCTGAGCTGCCTGAACCATGCACAGGAGAGCAAATATTTGGTTGCAGACAGTTACTTCTCCAAGACCACACAACGGCAAAATATAGGAAAAGAATATTTACTCAGCCTCTCTCTCTGCTCCTTTCAGTCTTATATTTAAGTCATCACCATATTTTCAGCAGCAAACTGTCCTGAAAGACAGCAGGGGAGAGAGTAAGACTAGAAGGGGATGCTCCTACAGTGGTGCAGCAGTATGCTGCATTTTCACAGCCTTTCTGCAACAGAAGACTCAAAGACGAACATGAATTCCATCTCCTCAGCTTTATACTGCAGCAAAAATGTCTTGAATGCCTGGAAATGGGGTCATTGGCATTGTTGAGATAAAATGTGTTTTACTGCCATGCTTGCCTATTCAATAAAGCATTTTAGTAATGCTGTATTTGTGGCCATCTTTAGAACTGGCTTGTTTAACGACAAAACTTTTAAATTATGAACCCTAAATGGATACTAATACTGACATTTGTAACAAAGTGTAAAGCAAGTAATAAATGTGTTGCTTTTTTTCTTTAGGATTACATTGAAAAGATCCAATTCCTAAAAAAATTCAACAGCAGAATACACTCCTTAATTTGTACTAAAATAATTTTTAAAATAGCCATAATTGTAAACACATTGGCTGGTGTAAACAGTATTCTGCATGTCAGTTGGCTAAAAATAATTATTTATCAGTTGTTAAAAGAAGGAACTTTCTGAATAAGTGCTTATTTACTAATATTTTATAGCATGTTCTCATTGACACAATTTTTTATATATAGTCTTAATGGAAATATTTATATATTTAAAAACACATCAACTGTTAGTTGATAGGTTTGGTTTATAAATATTAAAAAATTAAAAAAATCTATGTATAAAGTTAACTGTGCTTCTTTAGAAACTTTATGTGATCATTCACATACAGCTTCAAAATATTTTTAAAGTTTAGTAGCAATTCAAAATATGCTGTCTCAGTGATTTACAATTGTATGACCACTACAATGTGGAATGTTACCCATTATTTCAATACTCTGGGCTGAATCTTGCTGTCAATTACATTCAGAGTAATTCCTTATATCAGATTAATGCTGGTGGAAAGGATGTCAAAACTTGGCTTCTACTTGGAGTTGAAAAGAAGTATATTGTGCTTCAAAACTTGCATGCAATCAAATCAAGGACCATATTCTCTTGACAGACTTGCTTTGTCTATGTGATTCTTATCTGCACTGCTCCACGACAGACACTCATCTTCATTAAGCTTCTGGGAATAAAGAAAAATTGAAGAATACACCAGCTTCTTGACTGATGAAATAAGCTTCTTCCTCCCACCAATCAAATTGAATCAAATCAAATCATAATCAGGGTGGGTTTTGTTGTCAGAAAGTCTGGATTATGTTCAGATACTACTCTCAGCTGATAACAACAACTGATAGTTACTGAGCACCCAGTTTTATTTTATTTGTTTAGTTTCTTCTAAATTTACACAATGGGCTTACAATGGCCAATGCAAAGTTTTTTGTGGTGTAATATTCCACAAATGCCAGTTTATATTTATGTGTACAGCATTCCTCATTAACAATAAAACATATTTTTCAAGTATGAATTTCTGCATGTAATTCTCTTCTTCAGTATGCAGATACTCTTGACTTCTAGTGTGCATCATCACAAGTGATACAACATACAACCATTTCCTCTTCTTTCTCTGCCACGTTGTTCATGTTCATTGAACAGAGTGATAAATATCCAACACTGCCATCAAAAACTGTCAGTGAAGTTCCTCTATAAGCAGAGCACTTGAAAGGGAAATGATGTCCTCAACAGTGCATGCCATGATATGTGCCTTGGACTTTCCGGTCCTGTAGCTGAGATATTTTGAATGAGCCAAGAAAAGTTCTGAACTTGCCTCTTATCCTTCCATGGAAAGTAAATGTCAAAACCAAAAGAACTATAAAGATTTTTCTCCTGTCCTCTTGCTAACCTTGGTGATGGTTGATTGTCTGCAAAAGGAGAATGAAAACCACAACAGAATGCCCAGAAACAGGTCCTTTTAGAGTGCTGCATAAGATCCACGTAGCTTTATGTCTGAGCAGCAGTACCCAAAGAGGAGGAAAATGCTTTGGTTGCCTTGAGCTAGCATGTTAAAAGGAAGGTATGCTTTCCTTCCATATAGGAAAAAGTGCTTGTTAGCTGATGAAGCAGGAACGACACTCAAATTACTGATGGAAAGAAGGTAAAAATGTGAAATGCCTCCTGCCATTTACAGCATGTGTAATCAGAAGAATTTCAGCCTCTCTCCTCATTGTGGTTTAAAGTTCTTCTCGGCACATAGGGAAGTTGACAAAGGTGAAGACATTAAATTCTATCATTATAGATAAACACAGGAAAACAGCATAAAGAAACAACACGTAGATGCCTAATTTCTTGTCAAGTTTCCACTTATTTGCATGGA